GTTTTGTAAATGCCAACAATGACTTGAGAAATGCACCAAAAGTGACTGAGAAAAACTAACGTAGCATAAATTGTCTCAGCTGTATCAATTTGTTTTCCTGTATGAAAAGTGTTCACATTTACAGCTTTGTTTCTGCTAGCTTGCAGGAATTGTAACTTACATAAATGGTTGAAGACAACTTATTGGCCTTCATGAGACTCAGATAAATGGTGAGTATCTATTTCAAAAATTGCCTAAAACGTGCAACTTTTAAAGTCAATTTGTGTATTGAAATTTGGATGTAAGATTGTTTAACATGTTACAAGGGTTCTCTCTGTTTGGGGACATACATTTGAAAAAAGAAGAAAAAAACCAAAGATGCTCTTGCCAAACAATGAAGGTGTACATTTCATTCATAAAATGCAACATATTTGTGGAATGAAATCCAGACAACATAGAACAAACGGCTCCAGGCACCATCCATAGAAATATTTACGTTTACCTTTATTTCATGTCCTGATTTATGCAATGTTTTTCCACATTATTTGGTGTTTATAATTCAGTTTCATTTGTAAAGGGCCACCTACTGGCAAGGCCTGGTATTTTCTAACTGAGCTCATAGCCTAGTACAGAGGTTCCCAAACTGTGGGGAGCGCCCCCTAGGGGGGGCGCGGGAAGCCGTCTGGATGAAAACAGAGACCATGAACGCTGTATGCGCTGGGTTTTTACCTTAGAATGGCCAACTCTCTTATTCCTGTCAATTTGATACAGTAGGGGATTCCACACTTCCCATATCTGTATCCTCTGTCACTTTTATCAGCAGTTAAAACCGTTTCATCCGTTGTTAACATTTGGTAACCTATTTTTCCGAGCCGCCTTTAAACGCAACATGAGCGCTACGACACTCGCGCTGGGTTTACACCTGTGGGCAGTGAAGGAGACCTGCTGCTGCTGAGCAGAGCTACAGGTGTGTTAAAATCATGGCAGCAAACCAGCAAATAGCAAAGAACTTTTCACAGTTTTTCACCCAAACTAACCGACTGTTGAGTAAAGCTGTTGGATGCAGGTAATGTTAGCTAAAAGATGACTAGCTAATAACAATACAGCACCTTAAGCTTGTTAACAAGTAGCTTATAGGGTTGTTGTCTATGTTCAGCTACATAGATTCATTTAGGCCCCACCAAAAATAAAAACAACACATCGTTCAACCACACAGCTATTTGTAGAGAGGGGGGCCCAGAAAATGTTTGGAAACCACTGGGGGGGCGCAGGACAAAAAGTTTGGGAACCACTGGCCTAGTAGGTCAGATGCATGTAGTGGACCCAGGTTTGACAAACTAATATTTAGACTGTGGGGAGGCGCAAGGGAGGGGTGCTCTGGGGGGCGGGCGCTCAGCAGGGGACTAGTGTTCCAAGACAGAGCTTTGTATAAATGGGCGGCGCGATGCATGAGGAAGCATTGAAGCACTACCGAATGGTTGCCATGGAGATCCGAGGTTGTCGCAAGCATGTTTTCATGAGGAAATTACTCCTCATGAACATGGAATTATAACAAGATATAAAGCTCAAATCTAAACAATTGATGGTGATATGCACACCAAATAAGGGCTGTTCACTTTTTAAATGATCAACCCTTTGTTTTTGAATTTTTGGGATTTTTTTTCTGTTTCATTTTCTGCATTGAGTTGTTCTTGTGTCATCTATCCTGAATTACTGATCAAAAAGTAAAAAATTGTAAAGAGAAACATGTTTCTCCCAAAAGAAAGGATTTCCATGAAGATAGAAAATTCCCTGAAACAACAGGTCTTGTTTTTATTTATGTTTTTTGTTTGTGTATTTTGTCTGGTTGCAGAGAGGATCACACCTGTCGACAACAAAGGTTTAAGAACTACTGAATTTTCAGTCAGAAATTATCACACCGCTTGGTTGAAGTACCAGTGTCCATATGCAAGTCAACAAAGGTGAAACAAACATTTAAGCAAATGCTGAATTTATATGATGTTCATGTAGTGCATCATTCTAACTTTTGCTTTGTTTGTTTTCCAGCAGAGAGGAAACACCTCATTGACAATATGTGAGTCTCAATCTCAACCTGTAACGGGGAAGACCATAACTATGACGCACACCATCCTGAGCAAAGTCTGAACTCAGTGACTTGTTACGCTCAACCCAGAGCAAGAATCCTTTTATCAACGGTTTTTCTTCTACAATAGGTTATCTCTTAAATGTACGGAGCCCCCCAGGGGACATGGGGAATTTCTTTTCTTTTGCGTTCCCTCGCAAAAAGTTTTGCGTTCCCTCGCAATAATCTACTGATCAGTTCATGCGGCATAATTGATACTGTAAGCCTTTTTTCCGGTGGCCGCCGTACTTTCTGCTTTAATATAAGCTTATAAGGGTTTTCCATGGACTATTGAGTTATTATCGCGGGGTAATAAGTCATCTGATTGTGTCTCCATTGTGTTCGTGTCTGAATGGTTTAAAGGGCTGCTTTCTGTGCCGTTCCATCTTAGCCTTAACAGAGTAAATAAATCGATTTTCAATCAGTTTTTTTGCACCAAAGCGTTAATAATAATAAACACATTTTCACTGAGGCTCTATAAGAGCAATATGAATGAAATAAGTAATTATTGATATGACAGAAGCAGCAGCTTTGACACCTGGTGGTGTGCGTGTTGATGTGGGCTTGACGTCATCAAGTATGAATGGGAAGGTTACTGGCTGCTGCTGGCTCTGTGTGTATGAGGAAGCGTGTGAGCTGGGTGGTCAGTCCTCGCAAAGTTTGGAGCATGATAATAAAAATTAAAAAAATCGATAATTGTGACAGAACAAAGAAGAGGTTAGGAGTTGATTGATACACGGACAGATTAGATTCCCCGAGTTAATCCAGTGCGGCCAACTACCACCATTAGCAGAGGCGCAAAAAGTGGGTATGCAGCGTATGCAACGCATAGGGGCGCAGCACCAGAGGGGGCGCCAAAACCCCGTCTGGAGGGGGCGACGCGCCGATTATGTTTTCCCATACACTCCGTCACCTCTCGCACATAACGAGGTAAATGTAGGGAGTTTTACACTCCATGTAGCGTCGCCTCGGGGTGGGGGGGCGGGGTGTTGTTGAGCGTCGGTCCTTCACCCTGAAAGTTCCTTACCTCGGGGCGGGGGGGAGGCGCCGATTTATGTTTTCGCATCCACCTGAGTAATGTGCAGTTGCGCCACTGACCATTAGTTTGCTGTGTTTTATAATATAAAACGTGTTTATTATTATTAACGCTTTGGTGCAAAAAAACTGATTGAAAATCGATGTATTTACTGCATGTTTATGTCTGTTAAGGCTCAGATGGAACGGCACTAAAAGCAGCCCTTTAAACCATTCCGACTACGAACACAATAGAGACAATCAGATGACTTATTACCCCGCGATAATATAGTCCATGGAAAAACCTTATAAGCTTGTATTAAAGCAGAAAGTACGGCGGCCACCGTAAAAAAGCTTACAGTATCAATTATGCCGCATGAACTGATCAGTAGATTATTGCGAGGGAACGCAAAAGTTTTGCGAGGGAACGCAAAAGAAAAAAAAAATCCCCATGTCCCCTGGAGGGCTCCGTATATATGGATACATGCTGATTTTTTTGTTTTTTCTTTTTTTTCCAGATCTCAGTAATACTTTGAGGAAACTGGACAGGAAATAGAATCTATTCTTTTTTTAACTGAATTTTTAAATAGAAATTGTTTCTAAGTGGATTACTCGTAATCTGTATTTTTTTTAATTTGGACTTATTTTCTTTATAACTTTCTGTATTGAAATGCTGACAAATTACACTTTCTTGTGTGTTGTACTGTAATTTTTATGATAAAATTCTGGTAAGAACAGTTACCAGTGATTTACCATAAAGTTTTTGGGGTTTTTTTTACAATAAAATGCCAATATATCATACAGTCTGGCCGTGTTTTTCACTTATGTAGATATTATGCCTCAGGAAGTAATACTGTATTTACTACGGCAAAACCACATTTTCATCTTTTTATTTTACCATATTTTAGGAAATACGGTATTTTACCATATATTGGGAAATACGGTAAAATACCGGCAGCTGCAGTTGCCAGAATTTTACTGTATTTTAGCAAATACGGTAAAATACTGGCAGTTTTGGTCGCCAAAATTTTACCCTATAAAGACGGCAAAGTTCTGGCAACCAAAACTGCCAGTATTTTAGAGCCGTTCCCCCCCCCACTGTATAATGATGGGTTTGTTTGAAATCAGCCAGCCAGAATCATGGTCTTATCTGTACTGAGCAGGGGATGCAGACATCCCAACTGAGCATCCCTGAGATCTGTTCCATTACTTCATTAGTTAAAGGTTATCATGTTAGATAACCTTTATAGTTCCAAAATATGTCAAACGTATATGTTACAGATTTGTGGTGATTCACTGGTTTAGCATGAGGTTTGTTAGTGACGAGAAGAAGAAAGTCAGTATTTGAAGCAGAATTAAAAGTATAACAATCTACTGATAAATCTGTTCCATTGACAGGAGTGGCTAGTGCTGTTCTCAAATGTTCTTAAATCATTGCTGTCCAGTCTCCCCGCCAGCCTCTGACCAGCTTTCACCCTGTTGTCTGTGTTCTGCTTCCTTTTCCTATTTGCTGCAAGGGAGGGAAGGCTGGTGGTCAGAGAATGAACTGTATATCCTCTGGAACATGTTTGTTTTGCATTCAGTTGATCACACCTGACCACAAGAAAATAAAACAGTAGGGTTGGTCTTCAGAGGTATAACAGGACTTTAATTTCACAGTTTGGCCTAATTTTCTCTCCTCTTACGTTGTACTAAGCAGCTCATGACTGAGTAGATCAGCTCAGGTTGAGTAAGCTGTTGAGACTACAGATGAAAAGTGAATAACTGCACTCTAGGCTCACTGACTTAGAGAAGTTTTGGTTATGCAAAACTTGACCACTTCTCCACTAATCTGTGCAGAAAAAAAAATTAACTAATGGAATGGAATGCTGTTTCAGGAGTTCTGAAAGTGGTTCACAATCACCAATGTTAATTAGTAAAGTTTAAGTGAGGGTGCGTCTTAAATGAAAAGGGTCGCTGGTTGCCACTCCAGGCGGGACTCAAAGACACATGAGCAAAACAGCCATTTACTCCAACTGATTGCTAGTCATGTTACCATCAATGACCTTTTATGCTGGAAGTATATTAGAAAACATTGATGGGAATAGCAAAACTCAAAATGACCTCAATATTTTGAGAAACCAGAAACTTATGAAAGTTTCTGGTTTTTCAAGACCAAAAGACAGAATTAATGTGCTAATGCGCTGTGTTGCCCTGTGATGAACTGGCAACCAGTTCAGGATATCCCTGAACTAAGCCCAAGACATAAACCCTGCAGCAGTTTAAAAAAAAAAAAAAATTACGTTAAAATGCAGACAGCTGGGGTTGCCAAAATTCCACCGTAAAACAGAATTTACTCGTAATTGTTTTTACAGTGGAATTTTGGCAACCCCAGCTGCCGGCGTTTTACCATAAAACAGATATTACCCGTATGTCATGATGGAGTCCAATTTCTTAATCTGCTGTCCTGTTGGTATTCAGTTTTCGAACCCACATGCAAGAACACAACCAGAAGAGTCAGAGTAGTGAACAATAATGAGTTTATTGAATCCAGGGGGGGAAGGGGAGAGGAAATGGATGCTGGAGCGAATGACCGGGTCGTCTTACTGTCAACGAGAGGCAGATGGTTAGAGGAGGAAGGTGAGTATTTTCCAGGAGTGAATCGAACAGGTTCTTACTTGATATGAAGGTGAGTTAGCGAGCAGAGCGCTGGAGGATGGAGCTTCGTTGGAGAGCGGACAGGTTTGTTACGGCGGAACGAGCGGAGTCCGACTTGGTCCAGTTGTACCTTTTCTCCAGACTGGGTTCGGGCTTGGACCGACAGATCCTCTTGCGTCCCGAAGGGGAATCCACTGGAGACGGACCGAAGACAGGGGGGAGAGGCGAACACACGGGGAGTGGCGTCCGACCGGTAACAGCAGCGTCGAGGGAGGACACACGAAGAAGGTAACTCACAGACAGCACGGATCTCAGGCTCACTCTGAGCCCGGAGCAGACAGCACTCACGGGAACAACGAGAAGGTAACAGGATCGCCTGGCGAGGACAACAAGAAATTAGCAAGGAGCAGATAACAGAGGGCCTTTCTCTGGGACGTTAGTTACCAAGGTAAGCTAACACTCAGGCGATGAGAAGTCGTTCAGCCTCTGCTTATATCTGAAATCCACGCCCTCCAAACGAGCCACAGGTGTGGCCACGGGGTTACCCCTGCAGCATCTCAGGGGCTCTGCATCTGGCGGCATCTAGTGGATGCCCAGACGAATGACAAAAAATAATCCAAAAAATAAAACTCAAACCAAAATAAAGAAAAAAGACTAACAAAATTAACAGAAAAAACACAGATCCTGACATCTACATGCAGAACACCAGGCGGAAAACAGAAATCAGTCAAATAAGTTTATTGTAAACATAAAATAATGATCAACAATAAAGTTCTGGGAACGTCTGTAATCTGGATCACCGAAGCACTGGAATGTGAAAAAAGAGAGATGGCGAGTTCAGGGGTCGTTGAAAACGGCAGTGTCAGTATAAATGGACTGGTCTTACTTGGGAGGAGTTAGGGCTTGTCTGGGGGGGATGAATCACTGTGGTTACTGGGGTTTGGTTCTGGTGGAGGGTTGCTGCTTTACTGACAAAGGGGCTGTGGTGGAGGGTGTACAGGTGAGATTTGGGTCATAGGAGGTGAGGAGCAAGTGAGACTGCTGACCCATGCATGCATAGGGAGAACATGCAAACTCCATGCAGAAAGACCAGGGCCAGGAATCAAACCCAGAACCTTCTTGCTGCAAGGCAGCAGCTCTACCAACTGTGCCACTGTGCAGCCTCCAGTATTTTACAGTATTTTCTAAAATATGGTAAATGTCTGTCAACTAAAGCTGCCGGTATCTTACCGTATTTCCTAAAATACGGTAAGATACCGGCAGCTGTGGTTTTTCCTTAGTAAAATTGGCCATGTCCTTTTGGATAACACTAGAATTGCTCTTTATTGAAGTTTCACAAATCAGATAGTTTCACAAATCCCACACTTGGTTTTAAATATTCTGCAATAGGGGTGTGCTGTGGTGGCACAGGGGTTAAGCACAACCCACATATGGAGGCCTTAGTTCTTGACATGGCTGTTGCAGGTTCAATTCCCAGCCCAGCAACCTTTGCCACATGTCTTCCCCTTCTCTCA